TAACATTTCGTTCTAACATTCGCGTTCTAACATTCTTTTGATTCAAATGAACGCGTTCAACGCACCCTTTCGAGAACCCCCCCCCCCTCCCGCCTGTCTCGAAAGGGTGTACCGCCTTGTTCCCCCCTTCACATACACGGATTTTTCTTATGAGTCCTTACGGATCGCCAACTCGTAGTCAATCGCAAGCATCCGTAAATAACTTCTCATAACAAGGATCCGTGAAAGTAGAGGCAAATGTTTTGACATGTCAAAAATCTTCTTACGGTTGTCCACGGATTGATATTTCCGTAAATAACTCGTGACAATCCCTAATTATCGATAAGGGTGCAGTAATTAGTCTTCCACATCAGTCGTTCAGTTATTACAGAATTTAAGGAATATAAATTTAAATCATTTAAATCGAAATAATCAAAATTGAAACAAATAAAAAAAATTAATGAAACTTGTTTTTCGTAATCTTGCGGATCAGGCGTTAATAAGAAAGCAACCAATAAATGACATGAAACACAATCAAATGAAATATTGCGGGAGAAACACTGAGGATGATCAAAGCTTTATGAAAGGGCATGAGCGCATTGACTTGGTTTTGAACACCAATTTGTTTTTGAAAAATGAGAAGACGTGCTATTGTATCGTCTTTTGATTATAGAGCACACAGGAATTTCTGTATACTGTACAGTATCGGAATCATCAAATTGATGAAATACTTTCAAATGGACTGCACTCAGGAACAGGCATATGGAACTACAGATATTAAGTGACATGACTTCATTCCAAATCATTTAGCTATTTCTCGTTTTAATTTGATCATGAGGGAAGTTGAAAAGCAAGCCTATCATGGAAAATTTGTACCATGAATTTCTTCTAAATTGTTATCTTTATTTTTATGAGAAAGGTCACACATATTTTTTCTTAAACCTGACAAAAATTCTTCTTTTAAACTGGAAGGTGAAAGGGAGGATTGTGTGGTCAAAAAGGAAGGGGAGAAAAGCTTGGCATCATCCATAATTTTAGAAAATATCACTCAATATTACTGGAAATCTAGAAGTCTGAGCTTCGCTCTGAATCTTTGAAGGTTATTACAGGAGTGGTAATCATCTCTTGACCCGAACGATAAACGGAGAAAATTTCAAAATATACCCATTGGGAATATTTAATACTCTGTACTATGGTTTTCAAATATACAATTTATATGAAGATAGATTTGACATATTTGCAATATTCGTTCCAATCTAAGAGAAATAATGGAGAGTGAAAATGCGCTTTCGAAACGACATACATTTTAATTACACAATGTTTATTTGTATATTTTACAGTGAACATTTTGTAGATTTTAAATATATACTGTTAAATTGGGGAACATAATCATGACCATCCAAAATATACAATGTGCCATTTTATTTTAAAATGTAGAATTACAATTATATATATGGGTTTTGAAAGGTGGAGATTTGGAATGAACAATGAGCATTTGAAATATACAGTGTATAATGTAGATTGGAAATAAGAATGTGCATAATGATTTGAGTTGAATTTGTAAATAAATGGTGTACATTTTTTTCTTAGAATATGCAATTCACATGCCAAAAAAGAAGAAAGATTTTAAATATGAAATTCCCACTCATTTTATCTATGCCCGTTTCAAACAATGTAATATTTTGTATAGAATATATATATACATATATATACTTGGGCTGTATCACCAATATCCGTTCATCCTTTGTGACATTTATTTATGATCTGATTACATAGTGAAACGTGCATAATGAAATTACGTAATAATACTTAAAGCACACTGAACCCACATATTAGTCAAGTTTATATATATTATGTACCATGATAACAGTTTATACACATTTTACATCATTTTCCCGTCCTTGGTGGACACACACATATATATATATATATACAAATATATTATTGAAAGGTACAGTTTATATCTGATCGGAAGTGTATTGATCCATCTGGAGGGTCATAGAGATGGATCAATAAAGTTCTGAAAAGATTATAAACTCTATCTGTCAAAAATAAATATATCATGTTGTCACAATTGTTTCATTAAAAGAGGTAAAGAAAAATTATTCCAAATTAATGGGCAACGGTGTATTAATAACTTTTTCGGGGCTAGGTGAACGCGAACATATTCATATTTAAATCTGTTTTGACGATGAACAGAAATTAAATACATGTTATCACTAAAGTAGTTTGAATATTTTCGCAAAGACTGCTGATATTAATACCAAAACTAACAAAATATCTTTAGGTATAGATAATTACATTACTTCTTTATTATATGCCATATTTTGGAGAAAATAAATATAACGATCGCAACTGTTTTCAAAAATTCAACGTAATGGCAATTTTAATAGCCTAGTGTATATCCCATAGAAATTATGCTCGGATCACATAATACCTTATTACCTTGTTCGCCCATTTCAATAGGTGACGATCAAGGCACTTGAAATTACCTTTGGTCGATCTTTTTTAAAAAGGAGCTGCAATCGTATTAAACTGTTATTTAAATGCAAGATATAATCATGACTATGATATATTCATAATTGTTAAGATAGGCCTGTGATTTTTTTCCGGCGGAAATCCTGCGGATATATGTCCCGTGCATTTTAAATAAATTTTTACATATATTTAACAAATTATTTCTGACAAGATTTAGCACTTAATTTACTTTTCGAATTAGCTATTCATTTTCCAATATGTATGTACATTTTCCTGTTGACATAAGGCCTTGGTGGCTTAATGATCCAGTATCGTCAGCCATACTGCTAGTTATTACTAATTATTAATCAAAATAGTAACATCGGTCATCGGTGACACATTGTGTAATGCAAACCAGATGTCCGTATACATGTACACGCGCACGCACTCACGCACACACACGCACACACATACACACACATATATATATATGGAAATTCGTGACCTAATAAAAAGTGTTCAATTTAAATTATGACATTTCTCATCATTCGTTTTTTTTTTAGTTATCTTATGCCAACTCGTGGACTTATTATTGGATTTTAATTGTTGCACTTGTCTGCAATTTTTCAGTTTGGATTCGCAATCTATGATGTAACAGTCTAAAAATACAAGATGATAACTCTGTTATTAAGCAACGCGCAATTTTAGCGCAATGTGCTGGTATGCATTATTCGTATATATTTTGTTGCATTTGTCTGTAAATTTACGTTTAGATATTCACTATCTGAAATAAAATTAAAAAACCGGTAATAGTAAGGAAGAGAAGAGAAGGATTTTTATTTCAATTTTTTCAAATTATTATTAATATATAAAGCCCTTACAAAACAAGTAAAATTAATATACATGTATAGAATCGTTAACCTTCTACACATTTGGCAAAGAAATCTGTTGGTCCAATACTAAACAGTAACAACATGTTTAAGACCAATTTCTTCAAAAGCCAAACTAATCATCATATGACACCAGGCCTCAAATTAATTTTTTGTCCACGGGGGCTCTTCCAAAAAAAAAAGAGCCCCCGTGAGCCTTTTCACGGGGGCTCTTTTAGTGCTGACGGGGGCTGTTATTTTAATACAAATTTCCATTGAATTGGTACCCATGAAACTCCTTAATTCCTTGGTATTTTATCATTATCATTTATTTAAGTCGGCAATTTCCCTCTTAGAAATGTATTTGTCACATAGCTGTTATTGACTTTTATCCCCGTGATGACATTCTCTCCATTTCCTCCCGTTCTGCACATAATGTCCTCCTCATTATTCGGAGCAACCTTATTTACATTCTTTCTTTATTTTAAGTCTTTACCATATCCTTCCAAAACACAGGGGCGGATCTAGCTTTTTGCTAAGGGTGGGAGGGGGTAACCCGAATGCGATGCAGAGTATTGTCCACGAGCCGCGTAGCGGCGAGGCGATTTTTGTTGTTGCTATTTTGAAACCCCGTAAGTAAAGTTTACACTGTCCACGAGCCGCGAAGCGGCGAGGCGATTTTTTTTTGGTGCTATTTTGAACCCCCGTTAGTGATGTTTTCCTGGCATCTACTGACATCTTCTAATACTGTGTAGGTCTGGACACATGATAGCATTTTCTATGCACATCACATTTTCACTTGGCAGCCCAAGGGGGGGGGGGGGGTTAAACCCCCTAAAACGCCTACCCCCCCCCCCCCCCCCCGTGCAACATCTTTGGTGATCTTCTTCTCAATATTGATTTACTGGTGGAGTTACAATATTTGCTGGTCTTTTAGAATAACCAGATTTCAGAGAATTCACACTTTTCACAACGAAAAACTTCTCCATGTCCCAGCGCGATCGTCTCCAGCTCCAGCAGATATTGGGCGTCAGCGGCGTTACACCGGCACTACCGGCGCAGTATAGCCACTACTGACGGCCGCACTAGCTGCACTGCGAGCTTCCGTTGTTAATGTATCGGTAATTACTCATAGCGATGGGAGAGAAAGAGCCATTTAAGTTCCATTTCATTGGTTTAAGGTTTGAAAATTGATACTCAATATTGTGTTAAAGTTATATCAGAAAAGATAATCTTTATTCCACGGGGGCGGTTTTTAATTTTGCAATCGCCCCCGTGAGCAACCTGACGGGGGCGATTATGGAGCTCACGGGGGCGAATCGCCCACCGCCCCCGTGTATTTTGAGCGCTGTATGACACTAAAATTTACACCATACTTACTGGATTCAGTCGGTAAATTCAGCTGAAAATAGGAATAATATGTATTATCTTGAATTACAAAAGGTTTTTTTCGACGCATATGATGCGGTTCCTTGATGCGAATACAATGAGCGTTGACATTTGGCAATTTTTTAAAAACTTTCTAGATGTCAATATGAGAGGAGGTATATTACTGAGGACTCGTCAAGAACTGATGATAACAATAACCATTGAGTGACCGGCTCAATGGAAAATAATGACATCAGAGTTAAGTGAATTGTACAATGCAATCGAATTAGCATATATATTATGTAGAAATTGGCAATTTCGACGGTTTCAGTCGCGAGAGAAACGTGCCAGGAAGTTCCTCAGCATCGCCCTAGCCTCGTTGCGGTACACCTTCAGACGGAGCGCGAACAAGAACGGATTAATGCATGTGTTGAGATTCCCCATGATGACCAAGAAGCGATACCACGAGGAGCTGAAGCCGACTTTTCCTCCAAGGTTGTACTGCAAGAATGTCCACTGGTTAGGAGACCAACAGACTAAGTAGATGATGCACATGGCTAGGAGAACCTTGGTCGTGTTACGTCGTTGAAGCGCACCTGCGGCGTCCTTGTCCGTACGAGCAGGCGCTCCAGAGGTGTTTCCCTGTCCAGATGACGAGGGTTTTGGAGCGTCTTTGGCATCGCATTTGTTGTGATCGCCAGGCGTTGAAGACTTCTTTGTGTTGATGACTGCAGGAACTTCAAGCTGATTACTCGAGAATTGCTGTGCTGCCTCTACAGGAGGCACGTCATCACTCTTGGTAATAGTGCCTATGAGTTCTGCACTGTTTTGAGCCGGCCGTTCGGATGACTGTGGTTGTTTGGAAGTTCCTGGTTGAATCGAAGTGGATGGTATCAGTAAAACGTTCGTCTTCTTGAACTCGCCGGCGCCTCGCTCGTGGGCCACTCTGTTCAGCTTCCGGAATTTACGTATTATGGCCACAAAGGAAAATGTCATGATGCACGCTGGGATGAAATAGTCCCAGAAGAAAAGCATGACGAGGATGCCTCTGTATCGAGGCGTGTAGCGACAAGTACCTTCGTCCGTTGTATCGTAGTGTAGAGCAACCAGAAGAACCTGGAATATGGGTCCAAGAACCCAGGTAGAAACTATCAGCAGGTGAACGGCACGCTTCTTGAAATTCTGGAGGTACCATATTGGATGAAGCACAGCCACGTAGCGTTCGATGGATAGGGCCACGAGGTTGAAGGTGGAAATTGCGAAGCCACCGAACACCAATACCAACGAATTCCAGAGGTTGCAGTAGACCCTTGCAGCCAGACCGGACTTCTTGACTGATCGGATTCCACCGACATCGGAAAGGGTAGAGGCGACAAGGAGCCCTGATACGATACAGTCGATGATGGCTTGATTGACAATCAACAAGTTGGTGTTGTTTCTCACTGAATGTCTCCGAAGCACGAGGACGCATGCAAGGTTACCAACAAGACCAAGCATACCGATGAAAACCTGACCAACCTGAATAGGAGTAGCGACAGCCCACCCGGATTCTTCTTCGGGAGCTTTGGGAGCTTCGGTAGGGGTACCATTGTAGGACATGGCATCATCCATGATGAGCAGAACGTGGACCTTCAACTAACGACGAAAAGATGTGATGGAATAAAAATTTGTGATTTTTAACGAGCTTTATTTGTATGTGCCAGTTTTTAAGAGGACGATAACTCTTTGACACGTCATATCGCGAGAGGCGTATAGTCGCTTTTGTAGCTTGAAAAAGAAGTTTTTTTATAAATAGTGCCTGGATAACCCATCCTTACCAAAATAGTCAAAATGTCAAACTTATATCGTTATTATCATGGCATGTCAATTATGGTTTCTAGGTCCAGCATTTTAAACATTTCTCCATGTTTCCGCTTTCAAATGACCATAATTAGTGTCAGAAACCGATGAGTGAATTTTGTCGTAATCGGTTTAAAACACTTTGATCAGTACGCGAAATCTGGCTCCGGCCGCCATATGCCAACTGCCATGTTCGCCTGTGGCATTTGCAGGAAGTTTTAACAAAGGAGTTAAAGTTTGGTCCAGATCCTACGAGTCCAGAAATCCTTCGTGTAACAAACAAAAAAGTGACCTAATTTAATGCACTTAATTTCAAACGTCCAGTAATGATTAAGTTCATATTCAAAAGCACTTAGCCTGTCACCCGAAAAGGTCAAAGGAAAGTTCTACTTTCGTGCCAAAGAGTTAGAAATACCCTTTTTATCGAGGGAATTGTAAAAGCAATTACTACTTGACTTAAAAAAGCAAAATGTAAGAAAAAGATCAAGATGCCATAGCAAAGAGAGCAGGTTTATTAGGTCTTTAAATAGCGATTTACAATTTAGGCATCCTCGGGGAGGTAAAAAAGTTAACGTTCTAAATTTAGTTAAAAGCATCGGAAGTATAATTACCCTGATTTTCAAGGTAATAAAGAACATCAAGGTAAATTGGAAAGTGGGCTTTAAGAGAAGTTAGCTCTGAATATGTACTAACCTTAAAACGTAATTGACGGGTGATTATTTATTTACATGATTGCTTGAGAAGCGTCACACGCTTGGTTATGGGGCGTTCACATATACACTCCGGGCCCGTACGGCGATTGAACACAGACATTTTGGTCTTTGTTTGTTTGACCGGCTCCCGTACAGGTTCTACAGGCGCCGGACATTTTTCACCAGTGGTGCTGATTCTCCCGGCGTTTTCATCTGCCCGTTTAATATGTTGTAGATAGCCCGTAAAGGGCCCGTACGTGCTCCAGACGGCAGGCGCGGATCTACGTGGCGATTTTTCCGGCCTGGGCCCCCCCCCCTAGCCGAAAAATCTGTTTTAAAAAATCGGATAATAACGTAAATTTAATCTTTTTTAAAAACAAAAACGTCCCCCCCCCACCAAAAAAAAATATATATATATATATATATTTTTTTTCGCCCACACCGAAAACAAATTAGTGGTTCCCCCCCCCCCCTCTTGTCGCCGGCTGGATCCGCCCCTGCCAGACGGTGCCTGGACGGGGTCATCACGATTTGTTCAATTATCAATGTACAACGCAGCTTTAAACAGGCGGCGCGGATGTCAGAGGCAACATAGTTCAGTGCACCGCAAGGAACCCAGCAGGGTGCCTATAAACGACTGAGGCCGGGCCCCGGGAGCCATTGGGTGCACCTTTACATCGGACGGAGCCCGTAAGCTTACCGGCCCACAACTGGGTGGCACCAGGCCGCCAACTTTACGGGCGCCGAGCATTTTCATTCGACCATTTTTACCGGTCACCTCACGGGCGTCGCAGAATATGTGACCATACATGCCGTAGAAATGGAAATCGGAAGGGTCCCGTACGGTCTCTAAAATCTACGGCAAGCCGCCAGGTATGGAAAAATCGTATGGGGCTCGGTGAATATGTGACCTAGGCATATTCAAAGCATGGAGGGGGTCTACGGCCCTATGCTCTATGTGTTATCCAAGGGAAGGATTAGTGCCTTACATATTCATTTTTTTTAAAGACATGTAGTCAAAAGCTATCTTATCATTTTGTTTGTATTTCGTGTAGTATGATATATTTTATTAAACTTTCCCACTTTTGGAATAAATTTATCAACATTCTACGTCATTATGTAAAGTACATAATGACGTGGTTTGGAACCGGGGCTTGTTTGCGACGAGTCCACTGCTCTACCACAGAGGCATCATTGTTACTCGGTAATATTTATACAGTGAATTTGGCATTAGGTAAATAAACAAATACTTCAGTCACACCACTTAACTATTTCCAAACCGATGAACTTCTTGGATATTCAAGTATTACTCCAGTCAAGTCGACGAGGCCGACACAAAATTTCATTTTTCTCGGATGGCCGAGGATCGGTCGGTTTTTAGTCGGTGTCGCGGTATGACTATGGTATAAATATAATTGTTCACTCGATTTTGTGTCTGCCTCGTCGGTATGACACCTCAGTCACCGTAAAACCGACTCCGCACCAACTCCAAACCGACCAATCTTTTTAGCCATTTGGTGTCTCTCGTCGATATTGTATCGGCCGAGTCGGTGTGGTATCAGTCTCGCCGGTGTGAATGAGTTTAAAATTATTATAGGCAGCCAATTACATTCATTTTATGGGTAGACCTTGGAATAAAAAAAAACCCCATTGTTATCGCCTACAGCTCTCCAATCCAAAAGCAAATTATTTTGCCTGCAATCGAATTTAAATACAGACGTATACTTAATGTCGGCATACAAGTTCAGTTCAGTTCATGTTATTCAAAACCATACAAAGCATGATATAATCAGTTACATAAAAAAGAGACTGGTAATAGTACATCAATCAACATATTCTAACTTAATTACATCATAACTGAATGGTTTTAGGACCCCTTTAGAAGCTAAGCTTGTGAGCGGGGCCCTATAGTCAACAAAATACATACATTTACAGTAAAAAGAATGTTACGTATGATTATATGATGGATGAACCTTAAACAGGCAGGACCAAACTATCAATGCTATTTGTAGAACATAAAATCACCCCAAAAAAAACGCCGCTGTACTTAACGTGTAAATTAATGTTACCTGTACCCAACGAAGGTCCTGTACGTATTCACTGATCTCTGCGTTAAAAAATACAGAAATCTTAAGAGAATCGCACTTACGTCATCATGAACCAAAAAACATAAACCGCGATTTGGCCGCGGCATATCAGAACGTGGCTTCATTTCAAAGCATAGCAAATGAAGGGTGATGTACACTTTCTTAAATTATAAAAGAGTCAGTAGTGAGCTAAAAACAACACAATAATACGTCTAGTTTCATTTAGCATTTTAAGGCGTTGATAAAAACTAGTTGAGTCTGTGCAAAATTAATGTGTAGGTATCTATATTTTGCAGTGTAAGACTCTTTTTACAAATCTTCTTATAAAATCATAATGAAACTGTCACGCAAGTCAAACCAATTGTGTACCAAATAAACGTGATAGCCCTAGTATGAAAATTACACCTAGAAGAAAGTTCGAATAGATATCATTTCCACTTTGTAAATGTGCAGGTATCTAAATTTTCAGTGTAAGGCTATTTAAAAAAAATCTTCTAATAATATTATCGTAAACAGAGATGCTGTCATGAAAGTTGAACCAATTGGGTACCAAAATGAACGTGGAAGTAATAGTATGCAAAATTACACCTAGAATGAGAACGTAATTTTTAACATTTCCACTTTACAAACTGGATAAATGTGAAAGCAACTTGCAATGGAAGTAGACCTTCACTCATTTTACGTTTATCTTTGGCTTTTCGTTACGATTAAGTTTAAATCTGACGAATTTGATTTGGTGATAATGCTGCAGACTCTCTCTCCTGCCCGATCACAATATTTCTTTTCTCGCCATACTCCTAACCATCTCCAATCCCCCCTCTCTCTCTCTCTCCCTTTTCCCCACCCCCCCCTCCTCCTAGTTGTATTTTGAACAAATTCAATTCAGAGTATCCAAGATGGTTTCAACGGTACAGCCAACCTTCTCAGAAAGGGCTGATGTTGAAAGGGTGCGGTTCGCGTCTTTTTTTCCGTACCACTAGTACGTCATAGAGGTTATTTCGACGACTTGAATAGAGGCAACATCTGACTCGTATACCGAATCGCGCCGCACTGATAACGCGGTGTGGTGCGTACAACCATGGACTTACTAGACTAAGTCCATGTCTAGTAAGTCCATGGTACAACGCACCCTTTCGAGAAAAGTGCACCCCCCCCGCTTGTCTCGAAAAGGTGCGTTGAGAACGGAGTACCGCCATAACGCACCCTTTAGGGATATTAAGGGGGGGGGGGCTTTCTCGAAAGGGTGCGTTAGCTAGTTTTCCACATCAAATATTTTTTTTTTATAGAATTTAAGGAACATGAATTTAAAACGTTTAAATTGAAATGATCAAAATTGAAACAGATTGAAAGTTAAATACAACTACTGTTGCGTAGTCTTGCAGATCAGACGTTTATAAGAATTAAATCAATAAATTACATATATTGAAGTATAAAAACATAGTTCTATTTTGTATATAAGTAATGCTTGCCTGTCATAGCAACAAAAACAAAAACCCGTTTCGTTGACGATCAGCTTCTTTGTTGTTAGGGAGAGAGTGAGTGGAGGAAGAGGAGAACTATTAAAAAAAGAGAAAGAGAGAGAGAGAGAGAGACGGGTGAAGAGAGATAATATGAAACTTATAAATGGCAAAGTCGATAATGGGTTTCATAAGAAAATATAGGATAAGTTCGTTCCAGAAAGTAAATCATTCATCTCTTAATGTGTTTGGATTACCTCCTGGTATTCAAATCAGAAATGCATTTCATAAAAGCTCATTAACGTCCATGTTAAAGCCTTGATTTATTCATTACTGTTTAAACAGTGACATTTCCTGGGTGCAACGCCCAAGATAATAGATAATTCATCTCCACACCTTGTCGTACTTACGAGAGATAATGGCAAATAGAATTATGCTGATAATGATGGGAGGAATCGTAAGCATAATATGTCTTCATTCTGTTTTTCATGCTTCTGGCAAAAGTAGATTCACTTCTAGAAGAGCATTTAAATTAGCGTGAGATGAGGTATGCAGTTTTCCGCAAAGCGGATTTTGTCAGAATAGTTCATAGAAGCATCATCAAAAGGTTGCGATATTTTTGATGAAAATCACAAATAACCACCTGGAAATTTCTTTGATTGCAGAATTTGTAATATCCCTGGGATTTGTATAAAGAACCTAAAGACGCCAGAAAGGTTCGAAATTTGATGTCATTTATCTTCCTCTATGGAGACCACTCTGGAGAGGTTGTTTGCAGAATTTGTGTAAAGTGAGAAAATGTGACGATTGCTAGAGACTCAAGGTTACGATTTTGTTCACCCTTTCTCTCTCTCTCTCGCGCGCTCTCTAAAGGAATTAGGCACTTGATGCTGCAACGTGTTTGGTTAATGAACTGAACAAATTCCAGTTACTAAATGCAGTTGTTACGGTCTCGATAACAAAATTCGAAAACATTTTGTTTTCATCACCCGACAAAGGTCTCAACTGGTTTCTTACATTTGGAAAACGATGGCGTTAAATCAAACAGTATCCGCAGAAGGCACAACCCAAGACGAACCCTCTACAAAATTTGGTCAAATTTGTGAGCTTTTTATAGGATGCTTCGGAATCGTTGGTAACTTGACGTGTGTATTTGTTCTAGGCCGCCGTTCTGTCCGCAACCATACGAACTGGCTGATAGTCAACCAAGCAGTTGTCGATGCCCTAGTTTCGTTTTTTCTCGTAGCAGCCGTTTCGACCAAATTCGCAGGGGTATCCTCAAAAACGATGAACCGAACGAGCGGTGATATCTATTGCAAATTTTGGCGCTCGCTTTGTGTGGTTTTCGCTGGTTTCGCTATATCCACGTTTAATCTAACAGCTATATCCATCGAGCGGTATATAGCTGTCGTACATCCTATGTGGTACCTTTCCCATTTCAAAAGGCGAGCAATGCTTACCTTGATAACACTTAACTGGCTTCTAGCCCCAGTTCTTCAGATTGTAACAGTATCAACGCAGTATGGGGTGATGCAGAATGGTGAGTGCGATTTCTACCCGAAGAACAGTCAGATTCTCGTAGCCTTATTTTTCTGGGAGTATTTCATACCAATATGCATCATGACATTCTCCTTTGTCGCCATTATTATCAAGTTTCGAAAGCTAAATAAGATCGCAATCGAACGTACACGTGAGATTCATCATCAACCACCCGTTGCCGGTATGTCCTTAGCGCAACAAGAGCCGGGAGGTAGCGAACGGGCGTCAAGAATATGGAGCGTACCCGTTGATATTGAGAGGAGCGCCATCCGAGCTGGAAACGCTACTTCCCCAAGAAGAGGCCACATACGTAACGACCAGAGAAACCAAAACCAGGTAAACGCGGTCGGGCGGATCCAGAGGCGCAACACAACTAAGGTCCTTTTTGCAGTCTACATCATTTTCCTGATATGCTGGTCACCGAATCAATGGGCTTTTCTACAGTTCAACCTTGGAGGCCATCTGGATTTCAACTTCCATTTCTATCGTTTGACAGTGGTCATGGGCATGCTAAATACCTGTATTAACCCCTTCATCTACGCTCTGAGACTCAAGATCTATCAAAAAGAGCTGAAAGCCATCGTTCAATCCTTATTTACTGCACTACGTCGTAAACTTAATTTTCATCATTGAGTCCGTTGCACACGAAGCGTTATTTCCTGACGTAGGACAGCGTCATTGGTGCTTGCTTTCATGCGTCAATTGATAGTGAAATTGTTTCAAATGTG